TTTTTTTTTTTTTTTTCATATTTTTTGTTTTTGTTTTTTTTTTTTTTTTTTTTTTTTTTTTTTTTTTTTGGGGGGGGGGGGAGTGGAATCGGAAGTATCAAATCCACAGCTTGGAATTCAGGTAATTGTCGACAAATACGCAAAATCCGTACAAAGTGGCTTAGATGGTAACAATACCCCACAGTTACTTGACATCAAAGGAGGTAATTCTCACTTAAAGCACTACATATAGAAATTTGAGCTTGAGACATTACAAAGGAATCTACACCGGGTGATGGCGTGGCTGGAACTGTTTTGCAGTGCTGACGCACTCACAAAGAGGAGTTAGTGTAATTTTGTTCCTATGTCGTATTCTGCGACCAAATGATATCACCAAATTACTCGAAAAATTGGGCCAGCGCCACTTGTGGGGACATACAAGGTTTATGTTGGGGTAAAGGGGCTGGGTATATTGTTGTCCGTAATTGCAAAGGTACAATGGTAGCTTTATTGATAAACATTGCATACTCCACAATACCCCAGAGCCAACACGTACAGTCTAAAGAGAATCTACTTTCTCATCATCCGTATAAATAATCAGACAAATCTGCCACCTCCTCGAACCGAATCTCAAGCCACTACCCCATCAATTGATCCATAACGAAATACGACGATCATGTCAGCCAAAATTGAGCGTATATTTGCTGGTCCTGCTTTGAAAGTGGCCAATTTTTTAGACAAGCTCCCCAAAATTTACAATGTTTGGTTTATCGCTAGTATCTCAACCATTGCTGGTTTAATGTTTGGGTTTGACATTTCATCCATGTCAGCATTCATCGGAGCCGAGGCATATTCAAACTATTTCCATCACCCGGGCTCAACAATGCAGGGGTTCATTACCGCTGCTATGGCATTGGGATCCACATTTGGCTCAATTGCATCTTCATTTGTCTCTGAGCCTTTTGGAAGAAGATTATCGCTTTTGATTTGTTCCTTGTTTTGGATTATTGGCGCTGCTATACAATCCTCAGCACAAAATGTATCCATGTTAATCGCTGGTCGTATCATTTCTGGATTGGGTGTTGGTTTCGGCTCCTCAGTTGCTCCTATATATGGTGCTGAGATCTCGCCACGTAAAAGAAGAGGTGCGGTCAATGGTCTTTTCCAATTATCAGTTGCTACGGGTATCATGATTATGTTTTATTTCTGCTATGGTGTGGGCCACATTAAAGGTGTGGGTAGTTTCAGAATTGGTTGGAGATTTCAAATTGTCCCTGGAGCTCTTTTGTTGCTTGGATGTCTTATCATTCCTGAATCTCCACGTTGGTTGGCAAAGCAAGGTAAGTGGGAACAAGCTGAAATGATTGTTTGCAAGATACAAGCTCGGGGAAACTCTGAAGACGAAGAGGTGTTGATTGAAATTGCAGAGATTAAGGAGCAGTTGTTGATTGACAACGAAGCAAAGTCTGTGGGATATGCAACCTTGTTTAAGAAAAAGTTTATTTCGAGAACAATTACTGCAATCTTTGCCCAGATTTGGCAGCAATTGACAGGAATGAATGTTATGATGTACTACATTGTGTACATTTTCCAAATGGCGGGATATAGTGGAAATGCCAACTTGATTGCCTCATCTATTCAGTATGTCTTGTTTGTTGCATGCACCATTCCGGCATTGTTTTTCTTTGACAAGTTTGGAAGAAGACCCGTTTTGATTGTTGGTGCGATTTTGATGATGGCATTCCAAACTGGTCTTGCTGGTATCTTGGGTGCGTATGCAGTACCATGGGCCGACTCTGGTAACGAGTCCGTCAACATCAAGATTCCTGCTGAAAACAAAGCTGCGTCAGCGGGAGCTATCGCATGTTGTTACTTGTTTGTTTGTTCCTTTGCTGCCACTTGGGGTGTCGGTATTTGGGTTTACTGTGCTGAAGTTTGGGGTGACAATAGAATCTCGCAAAGAGGAAACTCTTCGTCTACTTGTGCTAATTGGGTTGTCAATTTTGCTATTGGAATGTACACCCCCTCAGGGTTTAGAACAATCAGTTGGAGGACATACATCATTTATGGAGTTTTCTGTCTCGCCATGGCAATACATGTCTACTTTGGGTTCCCAGAGACCAAAGGTAAGAGATTAGAGGAAGTGGGACAAATGTGGGATGAAAAGGTTCCAGCTTGGAGATCAGCTTCATGGACACCTACTATTCCACTCACTGGTGATTCTGAACTGTTGAGAAAATTGAGCGTTGACCATGTTGAAAATGTTGACGCAAAGGAAAGCGAAAGAGTTGTTGTCGATAATGTCAGCTCTGGTGAAAGTCTCAACTAGTTAATAGAAGCTGACAGAAGTTTTCCTTGTGTTTGAAATGGCGTTTCAATGTATAGCAATCTATATGGCATTGGTACGATATTGTATAGTTTTTAGTTAAAGAAGCTTTTGATAGATTGGAGATCACAATTAGTTCACCTCGGAGCGGAAAATTCGGAACGGCTTAAGAACTGTTGCAAAAAAAAAAAAAAAAAAAAACAAACTAATGACTAAAACCAATGCTGAGAAAAATTATTTTGAAGGGGGGAAAAGAATACTCGAGAAGCTTCAATGGAAACAGGGAAGCTGGGCTTCATAATCTTCACAATAGAAGTTTATGCGCTCTTATCCGCGGCAACTCAGTTCCGTCGCAAAGGACACATTTAGAATTTGCACCTTGACCATCTACTCCACTTCTTAAAGGATGCAAAATTGGATTTACTGTTTTAGTTATGGTTCTCGGAGTTCCGCTGTGTTGGAGGGATCGCGAGGGTAGACTTAAAATGCACAAGCCGAGACTCTTAGACGATATTATGAATATCATATGATGTATAATTAAACACAAAGAATATTATGCATGTCATTAAACCGTCGTGTAAAGTTTATGGTCATGTAAAATTAATTTCAAAGGGATGGGCTTTATATGAAGGTGAATAGTTTAGCGCCGGATAACCAGGTAAAGATGTTGTTTTTCTTTGCGGTTAAGGAAAAAAAAAATGATGATACGATTCCTTGCATATTGATTTAAACTTGCCTATGCATTACACATTGTAAAATCGGATACAAGTGCAAGTCAAGGGATGAATCGATCCTTTACTGCACCCACGAATACGCCAAGCTATTCCAAATTCAAATACCTGACTCTAAAACGTAGATGAGATTGCCCACTTCNCTAAACACATACCATACCCCACCAAGGAATTACTAATCGTTAAAGTGTGTTTTTTCAAATGAATCTTGCACATATTTCATTTGTGTATTGCGTTGCGGGAATTTTTTTTTCATTTTTTATTTTTTTCAGCTGCTCTTGCATATTTTGAGTTTTGTGTTTTGTGTTGTCTTCCGTGACTTCCTGTACTGTACTCTTTCCCCATCCTGAACTTCCACTGAGTTCTCTCAAGTAACAGTGACATGGACAAACGTCATTTCAAAAAATTGCAGTCACTCGCCTTCACTAATTTGGGTATAAATAGGGGTGGTGTTTACCCCTATTTCCCGTCTGCCCCCCCTAATTTCTGGCTTTCTTTTCTATCTTCAACAATCATCAACACACAAATATTTTTTTCACAATTCACTTAGACTAATAGCCCGTTTTGCAGCCAGTTTATACGCCAACACAAAATCAACTACAATTTTTCCTCGCTACAAAACATCTTCACAAAATATGAGCTTCACTCAATTGACTGACTTGGTCAAACGTAACCGTGCCGTTGACATTAATCCACCACCTGCTGAGTCTGATATCAACTTGACCAGCCATGGTAGTGATTGGTTATGGGCTGCGTTTTCTGTATTTGCATTGCTTGCAATTTGCCATGGTTTCATCTACAGTTTTGTTAGTGTCCGCAGAAGTGGCATCAAGAAGTCATTGTTGACCATTCCATTGTTTACCAACGCAGTTATGGCTTTTGCTTACTATACTTATGCCTCAAACTTGGGTTTCACTTGGATCGAAACCGAATTTCACCATGTTTCTACAGACAGAGGATTATATGTTCGTCAAATCTTTTACACAAAGTTTATCGGATGGTTCTTGTGCTGGCCATTGTTGTTGGTCATTTTCACTGTCAATACTCACACAAGCTTGACTGACGATAGAGAAGACATTTTGAAAAAGATTGTTCAAGTTGTTTCGGCCATTTTCACTAGATTCTTGTCAATTGAAGTGTTTGTTTTGGGTTTGTTGATTGGTGCTTTAATCAGATCTACCTACAAATGGGGTTACTTTACTTTTGCAACCGTGGCATTGTTGTTTACCATTTATCTCGTTTGCGTTGATTTGCATCACAGCTTCCAATCCGTCAACAAGAATTTGATTGCTAATTTAGTCATAATTTTGGAGATTGTAGTTTGGATCTTGTACCCAGTTTGTTGGGGTTTGTCCGAGGGTGGTAATGTCATCCAACCAGATTCAGAAGCTGTATTTTATGGTATTTTGGATCTCATCAATTTTGGATTCGTGCCTGTGATTTTGACTTGGATTGCCGTGAACACCATTGACGAGGATTTCTTTACAAAAGTCTGGCACTTCCATTTGAACAACAATGTTCATGTTGATCGTGATGCAGAAAAGTCTGTTGGTGACGACACCCCAAGACATTCGGGCGACACTACTGTTGCACCAGCTGGCGTGCATCAAGAGGAGGAACAACAAGTTTAGCTGTTCCGGCAAGAGACTATTTGAACATTTATGAGAACAGTGAGATATGAAATTTTGATGACTATCTTTTTCTACAATTTTAGTTCTGGTGAATCCGATCTGTGCTGCTTTGAGAAATACATACTTTAATACTTTAATATCAACAGTTTCACTTCCATATGAAGTACCTATAACATTGTAGTAGCACTTTCAGGACGAATTCCATTGGCTAATTGTCCATTCTGTTCTGTAGATATCTTGACAAGACAGTACAATGGCTACAGTTTCACTGAGTATCAACACTACATGTCTTTTGATTTACTACTTGTATGTTGAATGTGGAATGAATCCTTGCTTGGATTCATTACATCTATTTCAAGATAGCTAATTCATGTTTCCTGTCAAAGGCACACTTTAACTTCTGGAATGACGTATCACCGAGTTTATTCTCTCTCTCTCTCTCTC